ACCCTGGAAGGCCAGTCGCTCTTTTCACCCCAGCTCTGCTTTCGGCCACCAGTCCACCGCCGAGCTATAATGACAGCGATGCTGCAGCCAGCAGTCACTGCAAACGGGGGTGTGGGGTCATAAAAGCCTATTAGGCGGCTCACTCTGTGCCTCAAAGCAATTTGCTTAACCAGGACTGGATAGGCTCCAGCGACGATGACTGGCTAATGACAATGGGGTTTGGGGAAAACGCTTCAGAAAGACGTTATCGATTTTAGGGATTCGCACTTCAGCAGCACAGAGAGATGTGATGAGTTCATTAGAGACCAATTTTCATTATATTAAAACTTGGGGAAAAATGCGTCTTGTTCTCCATTGAGACGAACTGCGAAGTCAAACACTGAAAAATGAAACCCGAGGCATTAACCTTGCAAGCCAATTCCTGCTTTTATTTTATTTATTTTTCAGCTCACTGCAAAATAGGATTACTGCAAAATATATCAAGCTGCACTAGAAGTTAGTTGCATAATTCAAACGGACACGAACATTTAAAACACACGGTTTGCTTAATTAAATGAAGCATAATCATTGAGAAATATGAGTAAACATTTGTGGTATAAAAGACAAACACAGCGCTGAATAGTACAAGGCATAGACCTTTTTAGACAAACGTAACCTCGCTTATCGCACCAGAGTAAACAACCCCCTTCTCTAACAGCCAATCAGGTTCACATGGGGCCCGCACAGCCTGGGGGAGCCAGGATCCAGAAGTATAAGAGGGGAGGGGAGGGGTCACAGTGATACGGTAGGCCTGATCCCAACCGCGGCTAACGAGCAACGGGTAGAAGGACCAGGACCATGAAGAAGCAGCTCTTTGCACATGGTGGAAGTTCTAGAGACACAAATCGATTTCAAAACAGCCAGTGGCAAAGCCTGAAAAATATTCAGTCATCTGAGTTGAGCGACTGACATGGCCGGTCTAGACAGTTTGGGGAAGGGTAGTGCGCCGAGAAATACAGGGTACGATGCCCCCCCTCCCCCAGAGGACGCCCACCTCCCCACTTCAGCAGGAACCCCACGACCAAAGCCGGATCCCGTGCTGAAAAGGATGATACATGTTCCTACAAGATCTAAATGCTGTTCCATTAAGTTTTGGGTCACCACAATCAAGTCTTGTAATCTACAAAATCAATCCCATTTTCATTTGCTTAATGTACGTCAATTGATAGTGCATTACTCACCAAGGGCATTGGGGGTTGTTTTACATAAGTATGGCTTCTTGGAAAATTTTTTCCTTCAGACTGTCCAGCCAAATTGCTATTAATGGGCACTAACCCTTGACATTAAATGCAGACCTTATTTTCCAGGACTGGCTGCTAAGCCCTACAGTCACATGGCTTATGCACAGGTGCAGACCAATGGTAGCTAGAGAGCAGCCATGTTTATAGACATGTGGGACGAGCGAAAAGGAACGGAGCCCCTAGCGACAGGCAGAGAACAGCCCCGGAGGACCAAAAACCCACCTTCAATTCCGCTGATGCACTTGACTCGGTCGCGCACTTCCACGTTGTAGCCCTCGAAGGACATGAAGACCCCGTCAGGGTGGTAGGGCTCTCGTTGGGCGTAGACCTTGGAGTAGCTGTGGGAGAACTCAAAGCGGTCGTAGCCGTCATATTGCACCACCTTTCCATAGACCTCGAAGTACTTCTCCAGCCAGCTGAAGGGGAGATAGACGTCGTTGGCCTCCCGCCGGCCCTTGATGGTGACGTCATCGTTGATCAGGCAGTCGATCTCCTCGTATTTGAGCCCACCCACAACGGGCGGGGGCTCTGGAGGCTGGGGCTGCTGGGGACTGCGGTCTCCCTTGGGGGTGCTGGCTGGCGGAGGCCTGGGCGCCGCAGCAAGTGTGGTGTCACTGGAGCATTTGTTCCACAGCAGGATTGTGACCAAGGTGAAGAGGGCACAGATCACGATCAGGGTCTTGTAGTTGACCCGGGCCGCCAGGCAACGCATGTTTATGGCAGACCTGCATGCAAAGGGGGGGGGGGGGCAAAGGTCACCTCATCCGGCCCCCTCAGGACATGCAGCATCACTCCAGGGAAGGGAAACAGCAATAAAAGTGAAGATGCAACAACAGCCCGGATGCTAAACATAATTCAACCTTGCTTATCAGCAGAACAATGAGAAATCCACCCAAACGGCACCTACAGTTCCCCAGCACAGAGGTTCAGCAGCCATGCCGGGTGATTAATGAGCACCTGCAAATGAATTCTCACAAAACTAATGCATGTTAAGTACAACGCGAGGAGTACCGACACCCCTTCCCGCTGACAAGCCAGGTTATCGTGTTTCCGTGCTGCCCCCACCGCCCCAGCCTCCCACGCAGGGAGCGAATGCCAGCTCACATCAGAACGGCTGTGGTTGTGCTCCCGAGACTGACTGCGCAGGTGGAGGTGTTGGGCCGGCCTGCGAATCGCAGGACACGACGCCGATCGACACGGCCGGCGGCCCAAGCAGTCGCGCTCTCCAGCATTTAATGCAACAGCCGGTGGAAAAAAGCAGAAAGATCGATACGCACACAGTGGCCAGAAGATCCCACCCCTGCTAATTACAGCTAGGGGGGCCAGAGGGAACAAAGGCACCCCCCTCAGAAATAATATGGGGGGGCAAAATGAAAATCACCTCCGAGTTCATCTGTAGTTTAAACCTGCCAAGTTTAAGGTCATTACTGAAAATAAAACACTGCATCAACAGGCAGTACTGCCTGATTTATACAACAACAGAATAGGGACAAACACAGCAGCACATCATTCCTGCAAGGGAGGTAAATACACTGACCACTTATAAAGGGAAGTCTGGGAGGCACCATTAAGCAGACGGTCACCGCTACGATACATTACCGCGCACAGCACAAGGCCAGCACGAATCGCTAAATTGGCTAAGCTATGACATTCTTCTGCCCCCAGTTCCATAGCAACCGCATGGCTTCTATATTAAGTACGTCTGCCACCTGTCAGACTGGTCCATATGGACCTGTGCACGGCCACCTGTCCCAATCACCTGGAAGGCAGCTGACCAAGTAAACAACAGACACGAGCAGCAAGCACTCACAGGGACCGCGCCTCGGCGGGGGATGCCACTCGGCCCAATAGAGACTCAGCGCCTCAGATTATGCTGGACAGCTAGTTAAATACTAACAGGAAACAGGCGGAATGACCGGACACTTCAGAGATGCTATATTATACCTATATGGACGTCATTAGCCATAATGACATGTGACAAGAATTATTTCTTACAAAACCGCGACACGATGACAAATAGGACGTAGCTAAGACAGAACCACGGAGACCCGCGTCTGCGCAGTTTGTTATCGCTGTAACAAACTGTGCAATAACAACAATAATAATAAAAGTCTGGGCCACATTTCATGTTGTCTGGTAAAATAAGGGGAATAGTGAAGATTTAATAGGAAATATTTTCTGCTGGTTTTAATTTAAATCGTGCTGCTTTGAGCTTTAGCTCATCAGACACCCCAGGAGCGCAAGCTGCCAGCGTCGCCTCATCCCCGTTTGTTCGGAACGCGCCACGTGACGCCACAGCCGGTGCTGGGAGGGGCCACGGCAGCCCGACACGGCGGGGCCCCCATCACACGCCCCCCACGACAAAGCTGCAGCAAACCAACACAGGCGCAGCACTGCACGCACACATTCGGGCCTCTGGTTGCCACTGGGGGCTCCCCGGAGTGATGGATTTCAAGAGAGCCGCTGTCACTGCCTGCGATCATGAATCCACAAGGGGGGAAATAACAGATAAAAACAAAAGGCATAGCCAACAGCGAACCCGCCATTCCTCTGAAAACACAGAATTTCATTCTCTATCTTTAATAGAAACTACATGAACTCAATCACATGCAATTACAGCGGCAATGGAATTATGCTGCTGCGTTAGCGCCCCCAAGCACAGCACCAACTCCGCAGGCAGAAGCACAAGCAGACCCAGGGGTGGCCGACGTCCCCCACACGCGGCCTGCTGAGGACCCCCCCTCGCCCCTTCCAGGGAGACGGCAGTGTAAGCGTGCAGCGAGGTCTGGAAGGATCCGCTGGCGGCAGAGAGGGTTATATAAACGACGGGGATGACAAAAGGGTCACGGCAGCGTCTGGGTCGCAAAGCAGAGAGCTGCCTACTCAGGGGGGGGGGGGTGCTCTGGCAGATCCCAATATCTTGAAATATTGCTTCATAAAGGAGTATCATCGGTATTTGAGAGTGAGAGAGGAGATGAAAGATGGCAGAGATGAGCCTCGTGACAATGCACAGAGCTGCTGAGTCGCCGCATGCTGAAAGACACGCTGCCCGCCTCATCGGGCCCGACTATAAATAATTGGATCTTTTTACACTTGGCCACTGCAGCCAAGATGACGCTCCACAGGGTGGTCACCCGTGCTGCAGACGCGGAGCTACGGCCAGGTAACAGCAGCCAGTCATTGCTAGAGACACTGACAATAATGGCTACGGTACAGGCTGAGAGGGAGAATCATTAGCAAAGCCAAGCGGGCTGAGTGAGCACCTGCATTCTAGCTGAAATCCCGCTTCAGACAGCAAAGGATGTGCAGTTGAAGGGGGTTAAGCGGCTTTCCGGGGGGGTCTCACTGTGCAGGAAGACAGGCCCGGGACCAGCCAGTCGGCAAGCCTACGGTCCATTTGCCCCACTGCAAACTACAGGGCGCCCAGCAGGGTATGCTCAGTGCCCACCCCCCTGCAGAACCCCACACCTCCCCCACAGTGGCCAGTTAGCACAGGTCAGGCTGCTCAGTAAGTGGGGGTGATGGAGACACCTGTGGGGCTGCTTCCTGGCCAATGACTGGGGGGGCTTTTCTGCTCCCAGTAAACAATCAGAGCCCTCAGCAAGCATCCTCTCTGCCCTGTCACTGTGCTCCGAGTGCTGGGTCACTTTAGCAGGGAACCTTTCTCACGAGCACAAGAGGAAATAGCTTGAAGTACGAGGAGGCAGAGCGAGAGACACAGAAGGGGGGGGGGGGGGGGTAGGGATGGAGAGAGAGAGAGTGAGGGACAGGGAGAATGGGAGACAGAGAGAGATAGAGACAGATAGAGCGAGTGAGAGATGAAGAGAGATAGAGAACAAGATAGAGAGAGAGAGAGAGAAGCTTTAGGGGTCTTTATAGTTACTTAGTCTGGCCCTTGGTTTCACTTTGTTAAAACAGGACAGGAAAACATCAGCCACCAGGACAGCTACCTGGATACTGACCGTAGATTTCTGAACTGGGAGGACGCAGCACACCAGTGCATAAGCAGAGCCCTGCGAAGGGTTCCCGACACGGCAACCGCGAGGCAGCCCTCACAGAGAGGCAGCCCTCACAGAGAGGCAGCCCTCACAGAGNGAGGCAGCCCTCACAGAGAGGCAGCCCTCACAGAGAGGCAGCCCTCACAGAGCTCAACAGCATCCTCGGGGGAGAAAAGGTGCCGCCCTGAGTGTGCTCTGCTGAGGGGTTTTGGCTTGACAGGTTTATGTGGAATTCAGATGTGAAACAAAGTATTTCAAGCTTATAATTTACACATAACCAAAAAATCAGCTCCCAGTAAAATGGTTTCACCTGATCAAGATTAAAGCAAAAATGCTGAACTTCAAGATTTTGCAGAAATGGAACACGTCAAAAAAAAACAATTAAATCCCTTCCCCCAGCCGTCTGGGGGGGGAGGGGGTGCATCTGGTGTTTCAGACACGCAGAACAGCATGGATCAGACAGCCGGCACCATCCAGAAAGTGGGCCAGTCAGGCTGCAGCAGGAAGCAGCTCTTCCTCCGTCTGCTGCCTCAAAGATTTATTTAAGCAGACAAAACAGGTAAATAAAGCAGAGCGCAGGCAGTAGGAGAGGTCCTCTGTTGGGGGGGGGGGGTTTGGTGCGCTGAAAGCAGGGGGCCTCCTGTCAGGAGTTGGGGGCAGGGTCTTTCCCTCTCTGCCCCAGGGGTCCATGCTTCCTTGGTCTGCTGCTCCTATTGCTTGTCTGCTCCGTTTACCGACCCCGCCCCCCCCCCCCCATCAGACTGGCCATCAGCACCCTGCCCTGCACAGATGGATGCTGCACTGATTGCCACACACAGGCGCTGAATGACCCACCGGATGAAACGTGGTGCTAAACTGAGTAAATGTAATTTGTGTGGAGACGGCAGACACCAGCAGGGGGCGATGAAAGCCCAAGCGGGCGAGTGGAGCTGCAGATACGGGCGTGAATAATTAAAGGGTCATCAGCATGAGTGTGAAGGGCGGAGCCACAGAAGTCAGAGAGGAGAACAGGGAGGGAGCAATACGGGCGTGAATAATTAAAGGGTCATCAGCATGAGTGTGAAGGGCGGAGCCACAGAAGTCAGAGAGGAGAACAGGGAGGGAGGCCCAGGGAGGCACGGCGCCACAGAAGGTTCCAGAGAACGAGGATCAAAAGCCGATCTCAGCTCAGATATTAGAACAGAGCATGCCGATACAGGAGGCTGCCACTTAACTTGGCTAAGGTGATGGTAATAAACGGCAGACACTTCTACCCCTGCAATGCACAGCAATGTCCATTTACTCAGCCAGCTAATCCATAGCCTTTCAGGTGAAGCACTGTTGTTAAGAGTAAATCAGTCCTGGAACTGAACTGGTAGCATCCTGGTTAAAGGTGCGTGTGCTGAGGCCTGATGATGTACACAGTGCCTCCAGCAGAATCCCAAGCAGACACTGGGATGGACCACTAGGTGGCGCAAAGGGAGCAGGCCGGCTTTGAAGGGGGTCTACCTGGCTGGTGTCAGGCCTTCAGTGAGAGAATGAAAGGAGGAAAAAAGACAGGCATCAAAAGGGGAGAGCAGCAGCAGGATGAAGCACCGCCTCCCCACGTCCAAGGAGCTCCTTCTCAGCAGCTGAGGGGACGCCTGCACCTCCCTTTAATCCTCGAGTCTCGCATCTCATCTACACATAAAGCCAAATGCAGGCGCCGAAGCAATTCGGATTAAGAGTCGCCCTCCAAAATGGACCTTAAACCAGGCTAATGAAATGGCGGGTGGCAGAAAGCTTATGGGGCACCGTGGCACACGGTGTCCACTCCTTATGCAGCAGGAGGAGAGGGTGAGCCTCCTGTCAGACATCAGGAACCCCACCCACCCCCCCTCACGCAGCAGGAGGAGAGGGTGAGCCTCCTGTCAGACATCAGGAACCCCACCCACCCCCCCTCACGCAGCAGGAGGAGAGGGTGAGCCTCCTGTCAGACATCA